AGAATGGAGGTGTTGTGGGTAGCACATCAATTACCAGTGGGAGGTCATTTGGGAGTAAGGAAAACTCAAGCCAAAATACAAAAAATATTTTTATTGGCCTGGACTGTATAAGGATGTTGTTGACTTTTGCTGGTCATGTCATGCATGTCAGGTAGTTGGAAAGTCTCAAGCAGCAATAAAACCAGCACCTTTAATACCAATTCCCACATTTTAGGAACATTTTACAAGAATCTTAATTAATTACATAGCACCCTACCTAAAACAAAACAAGTAAGAATCAGTATTTGTTGACCACAATGGATGTATCTACTAGATTTCCAAAGGCAATTCCATTATGCAATATCACAGCTAGAAGGAAGAGATACTCAATTATTTTTTACTAGATACAGTTTACCCACAGAGATGTAATCAGATCAAAAGTAAAATTTTATTTCAAAATTATTCAAGAAAGTTATGGATAGCTTCGAAATAAAACAATTCAAATCCACTGCGTACCATTCAGGATCGTAGGAGCATTAGGACAATGCTATCAAACTTTTAAGACTATTGTGAGGGCTTCTAGTCCAGACTATCCAGATGACTGGGATAAAGGAATTCCATTTGTACTTTTTGCAATTAGGGATACACCTAATGAATCAACTAAGTTCAGTCCATTTGAATTAGTTTTTGGGCATGAGGTGAGAGGACCAGTGAACTTAATTGAGGAGAAATCGGGGTGTCAGAGTTCAGAGGTAACATATTTAGACTATGTGTCAAATTTTAGGGAAAGATTACATAAAGCGGGTGAGTTGGCTAGACAGCATTTGAAAGTAGCATAGCATATAATGAATTAGGGAGCAGATAAGAAATCAAAAATTTGAAATTTTGCTAGTGGAGGTAAATTGTTAGTGTTACTCCCATTAATAGGTGAACCTTTAAAAGCAAGGTTGAGTGGGCCTTATCAAATTGAAAGGAAATTGAGTTAGGTGAATTATTTGATAAAAATGCCAGATAAAAATAAAGAAAGAAAGATACAAAGAAATATGTTCAAAAGGTATTTTGATAGGGAAGGAAAGCAAAAGGAGAATGTGCTACTGGTTACAACACAGAGTGAATGATCAAGTTCGGAGGATTTTGAATTGCACATACATCAAATTAATTTGGACAATGAGGAAGTTATCAAAAATTGGGATAAATTATTGAGTTACCTTCCAGAGGAACATTGAAATGACCTGGAAGAATGGGAAGATATGTGGGAATAAGATGGAAAGTGCTAATCTGATTATGCATGATATAAACATAGAAAATGCTGTTCTAATTAAGCAATACCCTTAGACTTCACCCTCAAGTTGGCACAAGTTCAATAAGATATTGTATGCATGCTCAAAGTTAAATATAATCAAAGTGAGTTGCAGCGAATTGAGCTCACCCATAGTAATGGTGCCAAAACCATATGGTACCCAATGATTGTGTGGACTATCACAAAGTCAATGCAGTCACAAAATCTGATTGATATCCTGTTGGAAAGGTGGGACAAGCAACTTGTATTTCTAAGTTGGACCTACTCAGAGGATACTGGCAGGTATCTGTATTCGAAAGAGCGAAGGAAATTTCGGCTTTTGTGACACTGAATGGACTGTACCAGTTTAAAGTCATGCCATTTGGTATGAAAAATGTGTCAGCCACATTTCAAAGACTAACCAATTACCCAATTGTGTGGTATACATTGATGATCTGGTGATTTTTAGTCACAAGTGGAAAGAACATTTGGAATATCTACTGGAATTGTTCAGTTGACTTTGGTAGGTGGGCTGGTGATAAACCCAGATAAGAGTGAGTTTGCAAAAGTCCATTTCACGTTCCTGTGCCATGTCATTGGACGTGGACAAATGGTCCTACAGGAGTTGTGAAAACAAAGGCTATTGGGGAGTTTCCCATACCATCGATGAAGAGGAAGTACCATGATTCGTGGGACTGTATGGTTTTTGTCGGAAGTTCATACCGAATTTTAGCAGCTCGTTTGCTCCACGGACTCACTTGTTGAAGAAGCACACAAACTTTCAGTGGAGGAATATCAGAAGGCATTTGCTTCAGTGTTAGCCACACCTAATTATGTGGCACGGTGGCTCAGTGGTTAGCACTGCTGCCTCATAGCACTAGGGTCCCAGGCTCAATTCCACCTTCAGGCAACTGCCTTTGTGCAGTTAGCACACTCTCCCCCGTGTCTGTGTGGGTTTCCTCCGGGTCCTCTGGTTTCCTTGCACAGTCCAAAGATGTGCAGGTTAGGTGGATTGGCTATGTTAAATTGCTCTACTATACAGGGATTGCTGTCTGACCTGCTGTGATCTCCAGCATTTGTTGTTTTCAGTACAGATTGCAACATTTGCAGTAAATTGCTCCCACATTAGTTTATTTTGACAATGGATAAGCATCTTACGATCTTCAGTCGCTGATGGTACTGTTGGGGTGTGTTAGGAGAAATGTAGTCACAATCAGTAATGTCAATCAAAACTTACAAAAGCTGTCAGGGTTTTCAAACAGAAAAGTAAAAGGAAAAGCTATAGCCAAGATCAAAAGAACAATGGAAGAATTGGCAGCTTGCAATTATTTTGTGCAATTTAAATTAAATAAAAAATCCACTGGTGTGGGGAACCATAAAATGTTTATTATTTCTCCTATTACAAGTCACACTATTTGACTATATTAACCTCTCCATATGTTCATTCCCTGTGAAATAAAAAAAACTAATTGTACCAGGCAATATTTTAAGAAATGTTCACTTTCTTTTGTTCATTCATGGGATGAGGGCATCACTGGCTACGCAGCATCTATTGCCCATCCCTAATTGCTCAGAGGGCAGTTAAGAGTCAACCACATTGCTGGGGGTCTGGAGTCACTTGTAGGCCAGACCAGGTAAGGATGGCAGTTTCCTTCCCTAAAGGACACTAGTGAGCCAGATGTTTTTTTTTTCCCCTGACAATCAACAACAGATTCATGATTATTTTTAGATTCTTAATTGCAGATATTTATTGAATTCAAATTCCACCATCTACTGTGGTAGGATTCGAACGCAGGTCCACCAGAACATTATCTGGGGCTCTGGATTAACAGTCCAGCAACAATACCATCAGGCCAACACCTCCCACAGTACTCCACAGCTCCACCTTTGTGTTTGTATTATGTAAAATGCTTGAAGATCACAATGTAATGGTATCAGATGAATTGATTGTACCTGTCAATACCTGAGACAGATCATTGTTCAATAAGTTTACAGAATAGCTAACAGGATGGTAATGTGGAAGCATGTTGCTTGTTTACATTATTGGTTATTGCTGACAGGAGGGAGATGCCAGCTGACTCAAGAACTTGGCAGGCAAATTTTACAACACCCATTGATTCATTTGCAATTCATACAGTATTTTATGGTAATAAATATTGTTTTACAAGTATCATTATTATTGCTCATTGTAGAACAGCTTTACTTGTCAAAAAATGGTGTGCTTGTTGTTTGTATGAAAAGTCATCATAGTCCCAGAGGGCCCTAAGCTGCTTGCTCCTTAGAGATAGCGAAGGCTGATGCTGTGTTTAACCTGAGAGTCACCATATTTCTATTGAGAGATGAGGCTGAGAAGGCAAGGGGTCCAAAGTGTCCACAGTTAGCATAGGAATTGAATCTGTACTGTGTTGGCATACTGTGCACCACAAACCAACCCATTCAGCCAACTGAGCTAACCTACCCCTTACTTGTTTTTGCATGGATGAAGACCATGTAAATATTTCTTGTATTATCAAATTGAAAAAAACAGACTAAAATTAATTCAATGTAAAAGCTGGAATCTAATTGAGTAGTAAAAAAGAGACAGCAGAAAGATTCTTCCAGCCAACCATATAGATTTATCACATCTTTAAAGCGGACAATGCTTTATGATCCAAAATGTTCTGGAAAAGCAAAAATTGTGTTCATGAGACTCACTGTTACTATGTGCAGATTCAACAGCAAGATTAGGGGAAGAGGCATGAGTTGAGACTCCCCACAACTTGATGGTCGATTTACACCACTCAACTATTTGCCTTGGAAAAACACTATCAGCCATAGCACTCACCTCTCCCCCACTCTCTCTCACCCTTGCTCCACCAATATTTTTAAGAAATTGCTGGATTTTACATTAATTGACTATTGAACTTATCACAGCATGTTAGAGCTCATATTTAGCAGCAAACGGGCTGTTTTACAATGCAAAACCAATCTATCCCAATTTAAACGCATGTTGTCTCAACTTTTCTCTCCTCAAATTCGATCTTTCTTTCCCACTCTTTATTTACCTCTCTGAATTTGTTTTGGCAAAAAATTGCCTCATTTGTCCAGTGTTTCTCATCTTCCCTTCAACCTTAATAACTCATTGGTTAAATGGACAGCTGGTCACAATGTTCACCAAGATCCTGATTGCCCTCACTATGCCTTGTACTTCCAGCAAGTCACGACACAAATTATATTTTCTGTATTGCATCGCTGCTTATGCAAAATGTGTTGCTCCAGCAGGATGCAGCCCAACATGAGCAAAACATCTCCTAGATCAACACCTTGTCCTTTGGATATGCCAGCACTCAAGGTAATAGTATTGGACCATTTTTACATTTCTGCAATATAGATTCATTTCCCTGTAAATTGAAATGAACTTTAAACATTGGGTTTGCTAAAGAGTGGTTCAAAGTGAGGAGACACGGCAACAGCAGTTAATTTTGTGTAAAGTAAGTTACTCTGTTTCAGCTGTGATGCACATCAAATATAAATGAATTATCTTATTAGGTTTTGTTGTTTACTCCTTCAGAGGTCAGTGTTTATATGATTAATTACAAAGGCTGAAGATTCAACTATGTTGCTAATTCATAAGTATTAGGCTGCAATTTAATCAAAAAGACCACTGAACAGATTACGTTGCTTGAAATCTGACTAGCATTACATTTAACACATTTGTGTCTGCAATTTTTAAATTAAATTACTATTGATTTAATTTACTTGCCATCAACACAAGATGGTTTGGCTCTGGTTGTCCCAGCTACTTTCCCTGGCAGACAGGAACACTTAACAGTCTGTGATCGTTCTTCAATTCGATTCTTGTTACAGCATCTGTGTGCTGCTATGACTTCACATGTACCTCCATCTAAACGGGAAAGGAAATAAATTACAGTGACTGTCAACAGTAAAAAATTACTTTATTAGCTGTAGCTCAGAAAAGAAACTTATCACTTAATACATCACAAAAACACGAAGGGGGCTCTATTAACGTAAGATGTCAAATTACAACTTGATTATTTTAAAAATTGTAATGAATTGAACACATTTGTCACATGCATACTAACACTAAAGCCATTGTCAACAGCCTCTGATTTGAGAATAAGGCATGTCAGGATGTGAAAGATTAAGAGTGGGAAGGAAATAGTTTCACAAAAGAAGCGGCAGAAATTATGTTACACATCAAAGTCTGTCTCTTTGTTCTATGAAATGTAAATAGACAGTACTTATTTGAATTTATATTCTATAAAACTGGCCTTGACTGTTAAAGTTTGCATATATAACTTTACAATAAAGGGAAAGCCTAAATATATTCCACAGCCAACAGCAATACTTAGCATATCAACAAAATAATCAGCTATCAGTTCTGAAGAAGGCTCATACTTGAGTTGAAATGTAAACTCTGTTTCTCTTTCCTTAGATGCTGCCAGAACTGTTGAGTTTCTCCAGCATTTTCAGTGTTTGTTTCATATTTTCAATATGCACAGTATTCTGCTTTTAAAGGTATTATGCTTGACATAAAATAAAGCACTGACCTTTTTGCATAACATATAGTTTGTTAATTCCCTTTAAGGCTGGCAATCTTTCAGCTGAATTTCTTGCAATCTACTTTGTTTAAACAATGTTACACTTTAGCTTCCAAGTGGTTGCCAAATTATGAATTGTAGATATTTTCTAACCAACAGAAATGTTATTACACCCCTCTGCAGCAGGTGGAAATGAACTTGGGCCTCTTGGTTCAGAGGCAGGGATGCTACCAACTCACCATAAGAACCGCCAAGATATTCATTGTAGATTGAGTTTCACATCCTATACTACACAACTTAACAGATAATTTATGTTTTAGAATACACACTTCATATTATTATTGACATCAATGAGCAAACATTTAATCTATTCAAATTGTATTTCTCTGTCAGTTATTGAACAGATTAACTGTTCTGCTTCAATGGTAGACGGAGGGCAGTCATACAAAGCGTTAATCCTTTATATTTCTATTAATGATTAATCTTGCAGCAGTTTGGTAATAAAGAGTATGATGTATGTCAATATTGCAGATCCAGAGATTGTAGAAAGTGTGAACCTTATAGTAAATGTTTACATTTGAATGCTATACTAATTTTTAACTCACTTATGAAGCATTTATCATAAACAAATCCAGAGATATTTCAGAGACAACAAGGTGCAGGGCTGGATGAACACAGCAGGCCAAGCAGCATCATAGGAGCAGAGAGGCTGACGTTTCGGGCCTAGACCCTTCATCAGAAAAGGGGGAGGGGAAGGGGGTT